ACGATCACAATGCATCCTCATCATGACTGTATTGAAGTTGAAAGAGTGCTTGTATAAATTCATTACAAGGGTCTGTATCGACGTTGAAAGACCGCTTGTATACATTCATTGTAAGGGTATATGCACTCATGATCGGGGTGCGTTATGTTCGGTAGAAGATGGGCAGCGGCCCTCGGAGGGAGACTGATGAAGGACTGGGGAGAAGAGCTTTCCGTGTATTGGCTATGGCGGACGTCATCCTTGCCATCGCCAGTAATTGGCGCGCAGTGTTGGTGCGGGTTGGTGGACCTTCGCGAAAAGCTCTCTCAGGATCGAAGGACGTAGTTGGGGGGTAAGGGTGATTTACCTTCAGGGGAGTGTTGTCCTCCCCCCTCCTCCCTCCCCCCTCCCCCCTCCCCCCTCCCCCCTCGTTATTGGTGAAGGACAGAAATATAGACCGTTTATTATTATTATTATGTCTGAACAGACGAAACCAGCCAGGTCACGATGCACGTAGGCGGCTGCACGTCCAGGTACAGGCTAATGCACACACACATGACATCTGCGCATCGAGGTGCAAGTGTTTTTGGGTGTGGAATACAAATTTGGGGCAGCGACGACAAAAAAAAATGGTGCTGTTTGCTTCGGCGTAAATGAATTTGGGGAAAATAAATAAATAAATGACAGAAAAAGGAAGATCGGAGGTCCTTCAGGGCATCACATCCGCTCAAATTGGAACGACACAGCGACGATGGATTGGCATAGTTCAGAGGGGCGAAAAACAAAAACGTTAGCATGGCCCATGCACATGAAAAGATGACACGTACGGATCGACAACTGGGCCACAATTTTCCCCAAAAAACTTCCGAAAAAAAAAAAGAAAAAAAAAAAGCAAAGGAAGATTGGAGTGGTCTTCTGCTCCCAACCGTCTTCCCCTGAACACCACCCAACACTCCGATCACGAATGCATGCAAGCTCTCAGTTGCACTCGGTCAGATACAGATACAGTCAGGACGAAGGTGTGTTGTGTTCGGTGGAAGACACGGGTATTGGACTGGAGTATCCCTTGGGGGCGCAGTAGTTCGGATGTTATCGTGGGGGCAAGTGGGAAATTCCTGGGGAAGCTCTCACTTGTCCCCCTCTCCCCCCCCCCCCAACCCGCCCAAACCCAACCCCCCAACACAACCCCCCAACACACACACTCACACACACACACACACACACACAACACACACACACACACGCACACACACACACACACACACACGCACACAATATCGTCGTTCATTCTGGACCGCAGATTACAGGGATGGTTGGCCAGAAATACAGAATCGGGGTGGGTGGGAGCTTCCTCTTTTTCACAAGTCTTTTCCAAGAAGGAACTCGTCATGGCAATTGACGCCCGTGACAGCAACTATTTGAACTCTTTATTAAAAACAAACAAACCAAAAGAAAAAGAAGAAAAAGAAAGAAAAAAGAAAAGAAAAAAAAAAAAGCGAACAAAAAGAAAGTGACGTAGGCAACAATGTTGCACTCCATGGTCTTCCTTCTGTCTATGCGTGAAAGCTGCGAGAGGTGAAATGAGAGAGCAGCGACAAAACATGAATAATACGATGCTTCTTCCTGCTCCTCCCCCTCCTCCCACTCCTCCCCCTTCTCCACCTCCACCTCCTCCTCCTCCTCCTCCCCCTCCACCTCCTCCATTTCCTCCTGCTTTTCCCCCTCTAACTCCTCCACCTTCTCCTCCTCCCCCTCCACCTCCTCCATTTCCTCCTCCTTTTCCCCCTCTTAACTCCTCCATTTCCTCCTCCTCCTCCTCCTGCCCCTCCATTTCCTCCTCCTCCTCCCCCTCCTCCTCAACGAACTCGTTCGTTCTCCTTGTCCTCGTAGTAAATTCCCATCCGCTCCTCCTCGCGTCAGCACGAAAGTACTATCCTCTCTATCTTGTCCTCGTCCTCTCTTCCTTTTCTCTTTTTGTATATTACCCCCCCTCCCCCTCTCCGACCACACCCTCGTCGTAAACTACCATGAACTTTTCCTCGCCCTTCTCCGAAACCATAGATTCACCTCTTCTTCCCAAACCCTCACTACCTCCTCCTCCTACTACTGCTGCTGCTTCTCTGCGTCTCCAACCTGCTCTCTGACCTACACCATCCCTAGCTCCTCCCTGTGGCCGCCATGGTCTTCCTCCCCCTATTTCCCTCCTCAACCTCAAACGCCTTCTCCCCCTGCTCGTCCTACGTTACAGCCTCGGTCTCGTCTTCCTTCTGTGGGATTAGCTCCTCCTAGTCCTTCTAAGCTACCTCCTCCTCACGAATCACCCACTCCTTTTTTTTTTCGTTTTTTTTAACAAAGCTCCATCTATTGGTGGGGAGCAACACCTGCTGGAAACCGGGTCCAGCGTCCCATAGATACAACCACCTCACCAATAGATGGAGGCCTCTTCAAAAAAAATTGAGGTGATTATAGGAGAGGGAAGAAGTGGAGAATAAGGGAACACGCTTCTCTCTCATTCTCAGTTTCACACTGATGAGTTCTGTTCTTTTTCTTTCTTCTCGTTTCTTCTTATTGCCTCCCATTTTGGACACGTGACATTCCGTTGCACCCGTTATCCTTCTTGTCTTACTGCTTTGTCACTATGTATCTCGCCCTGCCCTCCCCCCTTCTTTCTATCACCCCACTTGTCAACACCCTCTTCTCGCTTCCCCCCCTCCTGTATGCTTTCATAGAAAAGATGTCTAAGGGGGGAAATACTCTCTGCGGGACTTCCTTGATTGAATGTTGCCGGAATATCAGCTATGGATATGTGCAGGTACGTCCCTGTGTCAGTATGTCCTAAGAAATCGACTGCTGCTTGTTGGGGCTTGTCCGTGACGTTCACCCCAAGCCCACCGGCGCACTGCAGCTGATGGATTTTCTTAAACCCTCAAACCCCTTGGGGAACACTCACACTTGGACATTTCAGCAGGGCATTGTTTTCACCCAAGGTCGGTGGTCAAACCACTCACTCATGGGCAGCCAATCCTGACTTGCAGAACTGGTGAGGGAGGAATGGGCCCGTGGGCGACGCATCGGGCTTGTAGGCAGAACTAATCCGGGGTCCTGTTTTTTTGTACCTGGGGTCCTCTTTTTTGAACCAGCCAGCCTGCGGGTTCCTGGGGAAGAGTGGTGGTGGTTTGTTGTTGGAGTGGTGGTTTGTTTAGCCGAGTTCTGATGTTCTCCCTGCAAATGGGTGTGACTGGGTGCCAGGTGGCATGAGGCTGTTTGCCATGCCAAGTGATGTTCCTGTCGCCGATTTGTTGTCTACGGCTGCCTCTTTCTGCGATCCCCTTTTCTATTTTCCGTCTAAGGGAATCCTCGCATATAACCAGGACTTTCCTAGATGCATATCTTGTATAGCGCTGGTGCTGTCTGCAATCCCCTTTTTTCTTAACCAGGACTTTCCTGGATGGATATAACCGCATTTCCGACCCGACCCCGATGCACCTGACATCAATTACGGCTGCAGCCCTGGATGTTTTGTTGTATTCTAGACTTGTCGAGTACCTGTTCTTACTCTCAAAAGGGGACGGCTCCAAGATATCATCATTGAATTGACGGGCTGCAGGTAATTCAGAATTACCTTTGTTCTGTTCATCTGATTGGATCTGGATTCGAACTTGGGCCTGTACTTCAACAGCTCATGGGTGTACCAACTGAGCTAGGGGCTTGACTCTCGATTTGTCAATCACGGACAATCAGTCCTAACTTGGTATTCACAGGTCTTGCCTTGTACCTTGGAGTGCACAGCGTGGCTCAGAGCTTGCAATCCATATGAAATGAAATATGTCTGCAATATGAGTAATGTCTTCAACGCGGGCCGAGGAATTAAACGGCCGTTGAAAGCCGTTTAATTCTCCCACACCCCCGTTGAATTCCCATTGAATAAAAAACAGGGGCCCTCCCGCTATTTTTTTTTTTCAACGGACAAGATCCATGGGGGATCGGGTGCATGGCCCAGCACCCCCGTGCGATTAAACTGAAAAAAAAAAGTGTCACCCCCCCAACCCCGCAAACATCCCCCACAAACCCCCGCCACCCCCGATTTTGTGTACGCATGTGTGTGTGTGCGTGTGTGTGTGTGTGTGTGTGGCTGTGTGTTTGTGCCAAAGGGGGGGGAGGGCAGAGCCCCCCAGTACGAACACCCCCCTCTGTGTGTGTGTGTGTGTGTGTGTGTGTGTGTGTGTGTGTGTGTGTGTGTGTGTGTGTGTG